TAGATTTCTCCCAGCCCCTGTGAGGCCCAGTGTGCAGGCTGGGTATGGAGAAGGTGTGCCTCAAGCCTTGGTGCAATATGGCACCTGAGGCCAGCTCCCAGTGCTAACAAGCCCTCGGGTTGCCTGAGCAGTTCAGATGAGGAAAACAAGTCTAAATAGGACAGAGGAGACAAGATGGGATTTCAAGAGGAAAGGGTGGCTGATTCTGCTTTGCAGAAGAATGCACCCTGATGCCTCCAGGATCCAGCCCAGCAGCGGCCTGAGCCTTCTTTATCGGGCCTCCACCTGAAGCAAACTCTCATTCCAGAGCTGTCCATCCCAGACCTGGCTGTTCAGACTTCATTGCCCTTAACTGTGCCTTTCACACTCATCACCATCAGCAGCATCAGGAGCAATATTTAGTGAGTGCCTACTATATGGCAAGCACTAAGATAAACACTGTATGTGAATTAACTCGTTCAATCCTCACAACTCAATAAGGCAGATACTATTTTCTCCCCACATAGTACAGATGAGGAGACAAAGAGGTTAAGTGACTTTCCCACCCTTGGATTCAATGAAAGGTAGTTAGCTAATAGGATGGGATGGGATGGGATTCAGAGCAGTGGTCAGCATGAGTTGCCCTAAGGGAAAAATGAAGGGCCTGTCCTCCTGGGGAGAAAGGAGTTGGTGAAAAGCAGAGGCAGGTGACTTTGTTGGTGGGAGGGCAGAATGACAGAGTTGCGCATCCAACAGTCCCTACCTTCCCAGAATGAGGAGGCTGTATTCTCTTGCTTGAGAAGGAACAGCATGATCCCACCAGGGTCTCTGAGGGGGCTGCTAATGTTCAATCCCTACTGATGACAATGCAGATGTTCTGGCAGACCCAAAAGCTCCCGGGGAATGGAGATGGAGGAGGCTTTCGTTTCTCCCCCAGAACAATGGCTTAAGTGTCGCCAGCATTTCCTTTAGGCCACACCAGGAGGTGCAACAGCTTGTTTCTGGCCTCTAGCTTCTCAGAATTTACTGGACCTCTGTCAGGAGGCTAGAGAAGCAGGTACCACCCTAACTGAGGCAGTTGAGATGTTCATGATAATAGATCAGAGTCCTTGCACATAGAATAATATTCAAAATTCACCCTAGAACCCATTTTTGTGTCTTGACTCGATGGAACTTCCTGCCTGCGATCCAGGGCAGGGAGTCCTGGCAGGGGCTGCAAAGCACAGATGGCAGCCAAGATGGTGGCAGTGCCTCCAGCAGGCTGCAGAATGATAAAAGACTATGAAGAACCTGGTTGTCAGGAATGCTTGTCTAGCGTGTATGGTTCTGCAACTTGTGTACTGTGCCAGGGTGCCCTGTGGAGGGGTGGATGGTGAAATCCAGCCCAAGCTGGACAGGGACAGGACAGCATCTTGAGGGATTTTAATGGTATTACATGCAAGGTATATGTAAGGTATATTGTATATGCACAATATATATTGTGTAGTACTGGGTCATTATCTTGACCATGATACGTGTCCGGGCCATGTTTATGTGTCTGTGTGTGATGTGTGATACGGGGTCTTATATACTTCAAATCTGTCATAAGTGATATTCTGTGTGAAAGAGCTGTTTGCAAGTTTTCTTTTTTCTTTTCTTCATTCAGTCTTATCTTTTTGGTCTCTTCATTTTAAACGTATAGATGTAGGCTGTTTGTGTTGACCACCACATAGTATACCATCGCATGAAGAATAAAATCGCTTTTCCGAAGCCCTCTGCTGATAGAAACTTAGATTGTATCTCTTTTTTACCATTACCAACTATGCTACGGTGAACAGTCTTGTGTAATTACCCCTTGTACATGTAGAAATCTCGTATGTGCCTGGAAGTCAGATTGCTGGGTTGAGAGGTATGTGTAAGTGTCATGAAACTGCTCCACATTCATCCAAGAGTGTATGAGAGACCCTCTTTCCCTAAGTCATCATCAACGTTCCACACCTTGCCCTTCCTCTCTGTTTTTGCAGCCACTGCAAGACCTAGCCACTGTTATGCCACATGGTTATCTCCCACCTGACCCTCCTCTCTCTCTTGCTTCTTCCACATCACTGCCAGGTCAATCTTGGCCCCCTCCAGGTTGCAAACGGAAAAGGCAGGTAGGTGGTGGTCTCCCCAGAACGACCCATCTCTCTGGGCTTTCATTCCAGGCTGTTCAGATGACAGAGTTGGAAACGTGTTGCCTGCTTCCTCCCCTACCCCCAGGCCCTCTGCAGAACACTCCATTCCAGAGCTACTAATCAAAAAGGAACATTTTCTTTCTTACTTTTTAAAGATTTTGGGGGCACCTGGGTGGCTCAGTGGTTGGGCATCTTGCTTTGGCTCAGGTCATGATCCCTGCATCCTGAGATCGAGTCCTACATTGGGGTCTCTGCAGGGAGCCTGCTTCTCCCTTTTTAAAGATTTTTAAAATTTATTTATTTTAGAGAGTGTTCACAGTGGGGGAAGGGCAAGGGAGAGAGTGAGAGAGAGAATCGCAAGCAGACTCCATGCTGAGCATGGAGACTGATATGGGGCTCCATCCCAGGACCCTGAGATCATGACCGGAACCTAGATCAAAAGTCGGATGCTCAACCAACTGAGGCACCCAGGTGCCCCAGGAACATTTTCTTTCTTCAACGCCTGTTGAAGGTGCCACTGTGGTCTGGCACTTCTGTCCTCTGTAGGAGGAGGCTTGATTTCTACTTGTGAAAGGCAGCAGGGATCTGATGTGAGCCTTTCCTGTGGGAAAACATTTCCTGCCATTGCCCAGTCAGATTGGCACCTTTTGTTTAACAACCATAACAATGTGTCCCAAATTGGAGAAGGGAAATGTAAAACAATACCCCTCAATGTTGCAAAGAACATAATGGCCAGAATTGAATGTAAGCCCTGCCTCATCTGAATTTATGTGCAGCAAACTAGAAATTCGGAACCTGTTCTGTAGTCTAATCATCGCTTCTCCCCATACACCCCAGGCTTCTGGGCCATTTCTTCTGAGTCGAGGGACCCATTCCCTTTCACTGGATTCTTGTGGGAACCTCTGACCAGTTTGCCTGCCTCCATGCTCTCCCCCTCCAATCTTCTCAGTTGTGAAGATAGGTCCCTCAGTAGTTCCTTATTACTGTTGGCACAATTTCCCCAAATGTGGAACCCCCACCACTGGCATTAAGCAAAATGCCCTTGAGAGGTATGAATGAATGTTCCCTTTTATTTGAATGCTTGTGTATTTATTTTTCTGTCTATCAGAGGACACTATTAGTAGCATACCAAATCCATGACTTCATGGAAGTACTATTGCTTAGGAGGAGGATGAAGTTCAGAATCATAGACTGGCAGAGCTGAAAAGGGTTTTAGATATTATCCCACCCACTCTCATATCTTTGCCTTTACTTCCAATTCTGATACTCACCCTGACTACATCTCTGCCTATAGAACTCCTACTCAACCTTCAAAGCCCATCTCAAAAGCTGCTTCTTTCACAAGTTGCATATTATCTCCTGCAATGGACTGGGAAGTCTTTGTAATGAGCTTCTCATTTGGGGGTCCACTCCTCCACTCCCATCTCATGCCCAACATAAGAGGTCTCAAGCAATGTCTGTTGGAGAAATGAATAGCCCTGCCATCTACAGAAGTGCAGAATAGGAATGGTCCCAGCTAAGTCCCTTGAAGGCTGTTTGGGGGCAGGGACTGCACCTAAGGACTTGATTGTCATGAAGAGAACCTCAGAGGCTCCTCAGCAAGGTCTCACTGAGCACCTTCTTACCCTAGGCCAGGTCTGCTCTGGGTGTCGGGCTCTATCATAGCCTTCTTCCCAAGGAGATGCTGCAACGTGTTCCCTGCCATACTCCTCTCTCTACTCTGTATGGGAAGCAGAGCTCTCTTGCTTGCAGAGGTCAGTGACAGGTTCCAGTACCAGTTTTTAAAGATTTTATTTATTTATTTATTTATTTATTTATTTATTTATTTATTTATTTAAGAGAGCGCGCATGCAAGACAGCACAAGTGGTGGAGAGGGAGACGCCAGCTGCCCATTGAGCAGGGAGCCTGATGCGGGGCTGGATCCCAGGACCCCAGCATGATCTGAGCCCAAGGCAGACGCTTAACTGACTAAGCCCCCGGGTGCCCCTCCAAGTACAATTTTAACAGGTTGTTCTAAATTGGTTGCTTTTATTTATTTATTTTTAAATTGGTTATTTTTAAATAAGCTTTAGGAGACATTCCACCCCACCCCATCTCCCCTGTTCAACAAACAGGACATTTTCCAACTCTCTTCCCCCAGCCGCTTCTGCAGTTGTTGGAGCTGATCTACATTCTGTGATTCTCAATAGCTTCCCTTTCAGAGAATGACACGTTCTTCTGCTGTCCTCTTTTTTTTAAACCGAGTTGGCTTTTCTGATTATTAAAGTAAAACGTGTGTCTTTTTACTTATTGGTAAAGAGCTTATTACTTAAAGCTCTTTATGTAATAAAGTTATTAACCATTTTTTGCCCTGTGCTGCAAATAGCTTTTTATTTCCCACTCTTCTATTTTGTCTTTGATTTCTGGTTTATTGTGCTTTGGAATGTGCTCATGTTTTTTTCCTTAACGACACTCAAGTATGTTGCTTTTTTCCTTTGTGTTTTCTTAATGCGGAGAAAGTCTTCTTCCCTCTTCCCGGATCAGAGGAATACTTATCTATATTCTTCCCTAGTGGCCAGGGGACGTTCACCGACCTTGTCTCTTTCTACTCCTGGGTTTCCCTCTCCAAGCCCCCACGCCGAGGCCCCTCCTCTTGCGGGTAACACAACCTTTCTCCGGGAGAGGCCAAAGCAATCAATCAGGTTGAGGCTTTAAAAATGCTAATGAGGGCAGCCCTTCCCCGGTGGATACTCCAGTCACTCCCTTAGCCCCTTTGAGAAAGGGCAGCTTGCTGTGGATCCCTCCCACTGATGTCCTATCTCCCGCTTCCTAACCTCCTTAGCGGCAGGGAGAGTGAGGAAGAGAAAAGTGGGTAGGAACCTCTGGTACTAGAGGGCTACCTCGCTGGCACTGCGCCTCCGATGTATACTTTTCACCTCTTCTCGGCAACTGCATTTTCAATTAGGCCCGACTCCAGAACTCCCGTTGATGCAAAGTCCCTGAGAATCTAAACGCCAGAGCCTGAGCGGAGTCACGCGGCCAGCAGCTAGAGCCCCGCAGCAACCGCCAGGCAGAAACTCCTGAATCTTCGCCTGAGTGCCCGGCCATGGTTGCCATGGGAACTCAAGCGCTAAATTGCTTTGCACATTTAGAAGCTGAAGACCTCAGCTTTGACGCCTGTAGCCCGGAAATTGATTGACCTCCAGTTAGGTTTTTGTTATTCTCTCGAGGCATCGCCTGCTTGTGTCTTGCCCGTCTACCCTGAGGATTGTGTTGGCGAGAGAACCGAACATTTAGCTCAATTTTTCTAAAAAAAAAAATAAAAAAAAAATCTTTGTACCTTGATTTATTCCAGAAAGAATTTAGGGTGGCTTACAAAGTTACACCCAGTACGAGAGAAAGATGAGGCAAGAGGAGAACAAGGATTACCAGTGAAGAAGTCCTGACACAAAGTGAAGGTCAGGAAGTCCTTTCTTGATAAATGTGAGTCCCAAAATTTGGCTGTAAGCTTTCACGGCAGATAACAGAAAGGGAAGGCATGATCAGTCATGGGATTCACAGATAAAAGCAAATCAATTGTTTATTAAAAGCACAGGTGTTCCAAACCTTGAGACTAAAAACTCTGCTTCCCCTGCCCACCCCTCCTCCTCCCTGCCCGCCCTGGAAACCAAATTTCTTAGTTTTTTTTTTTTTTTCTGTAACCCAGCATGTTACCTGAACAAATGGAGGCATATTTTAACCTCAGTAGATGGTCTTTTTTCTTCTTTTTTCCACCTTTCTTATTATCATTGTTAAATAAATATTACATATTCTTGTAAGGAAATAGCTCAAATAACCATAGAATAATACTATGCAGTCTTCGATAAAATGTGGTGGTTCTTTGTGTTAAACAAAAAGTGTAAGGTGCAAAAGAAGAATGCGTATAATCTCATGCCACCATCTAATTTCTTGTATATGCACAGAACATTTCTGGCAGGATGCCTAAGGAGCGGTCTAGGGATCAAAGAGACTCCCTTTTCTCTGAATTCTCTTTGTAGTCACTGAATATTTATGTTGTATGTGTGTGTACATTAAGAACTCAAAAATATTTTTAAGTGAGTAACACACATATGCGTAAGAGTTGTTAGAAGGTGGGGAAATGGGAAATTTAAATCCAGAAAATTTAGAAAAGAAAAAAATCTTCGCAGGTTTTTTTTACCACCTGGATCTGACTACTGTTAACCTTTTATTATTATTATTATTATTATTTAAAGATTGTATTTATTCATGAGAGACACACAGAGAAAGGCAGAGGGAGAAGCAGGTCCCCTGTGGGGAGCCTGATGCAGAACTCCATCCCAGGACCCTGGGATTATGACCAGAGCCAAAGGCAGACACACTCAACCACTGAGCCACCCAGGTGCCTCCCCCATTTTTTTAAAGCAGACTTTTTCCTGTGTAAACCAGTACTACCTTTCTGCAGGGCAGTATGGCAATGTTTCTAAAGCTCTAAAAATGTGTGTGCCCTTTAACCTGAGGAGATAATGAAAGGAATGCCCAAAGATGCATGCATGGAGATGGGCATCAAAATATGGGTTAAGATGTGGAAAGAATGGGGTGAGGGTGAACCCAGTAAGGGACTGGCTAGGTAAATCAGGGAGCATCCCTGTAGTGGGACGCTGTGCAGCCTTTGGAAATGAAGATCTCTGGTTACCAAAAGGCTCCTCAGACTGCATTAACCCTCACCAGTAGAGTCAGCATCCTGTGCCTTCTTTCCTCAACATTATTATGATGCATTATTTGTTTCTGTGTGCTTACGTAACATCTCCCCCCCGCCTCCCCTACCTCCTCACACTAGACTGGCAGGTCCATAAGGATATAAAATATCCTCATTTTATATAAAATATGCCTATTCTATTCCTTATGGTATCCCAAGTACCTTACAAGGTTCTTGGCATATAATAGACACTCAATAAATATCTGTTGACTAATTGATTGACTAAATACATAAACAGAAAATCAAGGCAATTTTCTTGCCATCCATCTCAGGTGTCCCTCAGTCTCCAGATGGACTGTCAGTGCTGCCTGGAAATACTATTTTTAAAAAAAGATTTTATTTATTTATTCACGAGAGACACAGAGAGAGAGAGAGAGAGAGAGAGAGAGAGAGAGAGAGGCAGAGACACAGGCAGAGGGAGAAGCAGGCTCCATGCAGGGAGCCTGATATGGGACTCAATCCCAGGACTCCAGGATCATGCCCCGGGCCGAAGGCAGCACTAAACTGCTGAGCCATCCAGGGATCCCCCAGAAATACTTTTCCTTTCCCCTAATCTCTAGGGAAGCTGCTTCACATATTTCCTGGATCGTCATGCCCCAGCTACATCCCATCTACCTCTAGGCAATGATTTCATCTTCTACTTCCCAGAAAAAAAATAAGAACCAGCAACTGGAGACCTCCTCCCATGCCCTCCCTACCTTTCAGAGCCTTGTTCTGTGACCTTCAGAAATCAGGAGGCCAGTGGTAACCCAAGCTAGCACACATTTGGCTACACTGATGGGAGGCAAAAAGCACTTATCTCACCCACTTCCTTCTCTGGAACTCTCCAGCAATACCCCCTCCCCTTTCACTATTAGTACTCTTGAAAGAGTAGACTATTTTCTGCCTCCCATTCACTCTGTCCTTATTTGCACTCAAGGGCACAGTTAAATATACTGCTCTACACATGATCATCTATCCATGCAAGGGCCTTTATGTTCTTTTTTTGTTTGATTTTATTTTTCCTTTTCATCTTTCATCCCCATTCACATCCTCTCTCTAGTAGGTTGGTATGTGTCTCAGAAATACAGGTGTCTTTGAAAATATATTTATGCATGCTTTAAATGGACAGAAAAGGCGTTGATTCATATATGATATTCTATATCTTTTCTCCCTCAACACTCTGTTTTTGAGGTCTCTCCATGCTGCTACATGCACATCTACTTTATCAACTTCTGGGGACTGCACACACCTACCCCAGTTTACCTCTGTGCTCCTCTAAGACCAGGCATCTTGGTCTCATCAACTCCCTGTGACCCCAAAGAATGCTACAATAAACCCTCCCTAACTTGCCCCTATGGGTTTGGGCAAGAATCTCTCTAAACCAGCAGTTCTTTTTCTTAGGGTTTTATTTATTTATTTGAGAGGGAGAGCACAAGTGGGGGCAGAGGGAGAGGGAAAAGCAGATTTCCTGCTGAGCCCGGAGCCCAAAGCCCAGAGCCCAGAGCCCGGAGCCCGGAGTGGGGCTCGATCCCAGGACCCTGAGATCAGGACCTGAGCTGAAGGCAGATACTTCACCCACTGAGCCACCCAGGAGCCCCTCTAAACCAGCAATTCTTAAAGAATGGTCCGCAGGGGATGCCTGGGTGGCTCAGTGGTTTAGCGCCTGCCTTCAGCCCAGGGCGTGATCCTGGAGTCCTGGGATCGAGTCCCACATCAGGCTCCCTGCATGGAGCCTGCTTCTCCCTCTGCCTGTGTCTCTGCCTCTCTCTCTCTCTCTCTCTCTCTCTCTCTCTGTGTGTGTGTGTGTGTGTGTGTCTCATGAATAAATTTAAAAAAAAAAGAGGTCCGTAGACCTCTAGGAGTTACTGAGACCCTTTCAGGGGGTGCACAAGATCAGAGCGATTTTCAGGTTAATATGAAGACATCATTTGCCTTTTTCACTAGGTTGATGTTTGCACCCAGGGCAAAACTACTGGCACCTTAGTAAATAAAAGTGGTAGCACCCACCTGTACCACTGGTCATTGTGTACCTCACCACCACACACTCTCAGGGGCCAGGAAAGCCAGTTTTATCCAAGAATGGCTTTCATAACCCAGTAAAAAAAAACGTTATTTTTAAAATTAAATCTTGATCATTGAATTCAAGTCTTTTTAATAATCTGAGCAGTCCAGGTGGCTCAGCGGTTTAGCGCCGCCTTCAGCCCAGGGCCTGTGTCTCTGCCTCTCTCTCTCTCTCTCTCTCTCTCTCTCTCTCTCTCTCTGTGTGTGTGTGTGTGTGTGTGTCATGAATAAATAAAATCTTTTTAAAAATAATCTGTGCAACGAAATGGGAAGAACATGTAGAGCACTTGTGCTGTTTTGCTGAAGTCTGAGGGCTGTCTGGAGGAAAAGTGTTTGTGCAGTTGTTGGAGGTGTGAGCTCAATAGGTCTCTTTTTTCCGTGGAACATCCGTTGTGTTTGAAAGAAGGACCGATGAACTACGGTTATTCAGGCTTGAGTAGTTGGCAGGCGTTTTCTCAAAAGTGAACGAAGTGAGCCTGTCACTTCAAGGAAAACAGCCCACAGTTTTGTTACCAAAGATAAAATTTGAACTTTCAAGCACAAATCAGAATTTTAGAAGACTTGTTTCTGCCACCATGAGCTCAACAGCTTGCTGAGACCTGAAGGCTTTCTCTGCCTGCTCCTTAATTTGGTGTGACCTGTTGGAATTATCATGAGTCCCTCTCCCAGAAAATCTTTGAGACAAGGGTGTCAGCTGCCCACCTGGATCACTAAGGCCCTATGCGTGACAGCCTGAGCAATCTTTGCTCACCGTGTTGCAGGAGTGCCTTGTTCTGCATCTTCATAAATGTTGGAGTAGTGAGTCAGGAAGGCTGCCACTGCAGGGCAGGGGAGAAACACAAACAATCATGACACTAAAGCTTAAACATCAGAGCTCCCTCTCTCCCCAATCTCCCCACTCAAACCGGACTGTTCCATCCACTCTTCATACACAGTTGACTCTTGAACAACATGGGGGTTAGGGACACCAACCCCCCACATAGCTGAAAATCCACATACAACTTTTGACTTCCCCAAAACGTAACTCATAGCCTCCTGTTGACCAGAAGCCTTCCTGATAACATAAACAGTTATTGCCTATGTTGTATTTTATATGGATTATATACTGTGTTCTTAGAATAAAGAAAAGAAAACATCGTTAAGACAGTCACAGGGAAGAGAAAACACAGCTGCACTTCTCTACTGTATCAAAAATAATCCTCGCGGAAGCAGACCCATGAAGTTCACCCTCACGTTGTCAAGGGTCAGCTGGACTTCCAAGAGCTGGTGACTGTTCCATTTCTGTCTCGGCCTTGACCTTGTGGACAATGTGCCCAGAGGCACCGCACACCCACAGTGGCCAAGCTGAGCTCTCTCCTCTCCTCCTTGTTCCTATGCCTCTCCCAGGGCTCCCTAATTTGGAGAGCACACTACCCATTCTATCCTCAGGTTATCTCCTCCACTGTTCCTTCCCACCCTGGTACTCATCCTCAGCCCACAACCCTTCTCACCCCACACCTTCCCGCCACCTCTGACCAGTCTGTTCGCCTCTCTTGAATCAGCCTTCCACCTTGTAGCCCCCATGCTGATCTCCCTCACCTAAAAGCTTTCGTGGCTCCCTGTCACCTTCAAGATAAAATCCATCACCCCTTCTCCTGACACACAAGTCCTCCGTGGTCTGCTCCCAACTACCTCATCTTCTGCCTCACTGTACTAGATCACTCTTTGTCCCCAAACACCAGGTACCTTCATACCTTTAGGCTCTTGCTGTTAATGTCCTCTGCCTGGAATGTCCTCTCTTCAACCCTCATCTTACTGGCAAACATCGCTTCATTATCTGAGGACTGGCTCGGTATCACCTTGTCTTGAGACCCTCTTCTCTGGCAGAAGGAATTTAACTCCAGGTGCTGGCAGCCGGCAATGAGTGGATGACCGGGGAATGAAACTGAAATTGCATCAAATAAGGGCTGGTGTCATTGACGAGGCAGAACTGGAACTGGTCCCTAAAGGGAATACTCTTAGCAGTAACTAACATTTATTGAGTGCTTGCTGTGCACCAGACCTTGCCCTTCCCACTTTTTAAATTTTATTTTTTACCTTTTGAGAGAGAGAGAGAGAGAGAGAGAGAGCACAAGCCGGGAGGAGGGGCAGAGGGAGAAGCAAACTTTCCACTGGGCAGGGAGCCCACTCGAGGTTCAATCCCAGAACCCTGGGATCACGACCTGAGCCAAAGGCAGCCGCTACTGGGCTACCCAGGCGCCCCGCCCTGCCCACCTTATACACATTCTCATTTCACTTCAGCAACCTCCAACTAGAGTTACCCTCACTTTAATGATGCAGAACCTGAGGCTCGGAGAAACACATCAGTGGCTGGTCTTTACTGGGTGGCAGCTTGTTGATCTACTGGAGAACACTCTTTTGTCATAAGTGGCAGGGGAGGGACAGTGTCTAGAATCACTTGCAGTGGTGTGTCTTGTTCATACTGGAGGCAGTGAAGCGCATGTGGGATCAGGAACGTGGGGCCCTGTGGTGAAGTGCAAAGACCAGGGTGGAGTCTAACACCACTCTGTCTAGCTGTGTGACCTGCAGCTCACCCCTTAACCTATCTGAGCTTCCATTTCCTAACATGTGAAATGAGGATAATAATAGTTGTCTTGCAAGTCTGGGGTGCAGATGAGCTATGAGGAATAGCTGGAAGAATGGAGCACAGCATGTACTGGGAGGGCCTCCATCAATACCGAATCACTTTCCTCCCTCCCAGGTACCCAGGGAAAGAAATATACACTGGTGAAACTCACACATGGAGTCAGGGAAGCTGTGCTCTGACTCTGGCATCGCCAAGGCCTTGCAACTTTCAGCCTGTCACTTTCCCTCTCTGGGCTATAGTTTCTTCTTGTAACACAAGGGAGTTTTGTCTTGCAGCAGGTGGATGTTTCCCTTTTCTTTCCTTTTCCCAGCCACACAAAAAAGAAAGGTGTGTGTGGGGGGGAACACACCAGAAGAGAACTGGGGGAAAGGTTCAGGGTTATGCCAACCTGGAGTTCTGTGGTTTGTGGAAATTCGGCATGTCTGGCAACAGGAAATAGTTCCTGAAGACACAGGCTTTGGACCCTGGTAACCTGGAAGCGAGCTCAGGGCTCCTCATCAGTATCTGCAAAACCAGCTCCCCCCACCCCATACACACACCCTTTTCTGGGAGCTGCCCCTACAGGTTGGGCCTCTGCTGAGACAGGCCTTGAGCCAATTCAGGCATCCAGCTGCTTGTTGCCATGGCAACGTTCCAGCCTGCTTTGCATAGTGACAGGGATGCGAGGCTTTGCTAACAAACTGCTCTGTAAAGGACTTCATGTCTTTGGGAGGAACAATTCTGTCTTCTTTTTCACATGAACAACTTTGGGAGCTATGAGGGATTTGGCAAGTCACTTCCCCTGTCTTGGCCTGTGCCCTTGGGCTTTCCTTGAAGGCAGAAATTGGCAGCCTTTATTTTTCTATTTCCAAATATACCATCACCACCCTCCTCCTGTCCACTCCCCCTCTGAAGGAAAGAATGGTTTTTCCCTTAGTTAGAGCTCTGGTGAACTCAGCATGTTTAGGAAAACGGGACGAATGGACTGTTTTAACCATTCACATACCCTTGGCTGATTGCTGGGTCAGCCTGCAGTCCCCCTTTCTTTGTTCAGGATGCCAAGCGATGTTCAGGGTAGAGGTAGGAAGACCCTGTATGGTCCTGGTGAATGATTCCCTGGAGCAGGAAACATAATTAGAATTTAAAGTAGAATGGGAAGAAAACCAGGCAGACCTGGGTGAATCCTGCTTTTATCACTTACAAGCCGTGTGATCATGGACAAGTTATTTAACTTTACTTGGCCTCAGTTTCCTCAAATGTGCAGTGGGGAAGATAATAGCAGCCTTACAAGGGCATTATTGTAGGGTTGTTACGAGGTCACATCTTATGCTTGCCTGAACTCACTGTTTCCATTGCCTGATCCTGGTCTGCCGCCTCTTGCCCAAACCAATATCACAGCCTCCTGAAGTTCCCATTTCTTCTCCAATCCCCTCTGGTCCATTGTCCATGTAGTAGACAGGGTGGTCTTGGAAAATTTTCAATGAGATCCAATCGCTTCCTTGCTTAAAACTCTCTAGTAGATTTCCCATTGTGCTTCAAATAAAATTGGCCACTTTCCCCTGACCTCCTCCACCCTAGACATACTGGCCTTCTTTCCATTTCTCAGAATCGTTTCTCCTCACCTCGTGGGCTTGGCACCTTCTGTTCCCTCTGCTGGCTCCTTGACATCTTCAGTTCTTAGCTCAGGGAGACCTTCCCAGACCACTGATCTAAACTATCTCCCCACACTCATCCCCGTCGCTCACCATCATATCACCATGTGAATTCTCCCACCCCCAGCATTTTGATCACACCAGCCCTACGTCAATAATTTACACCTTGAGTTATTGTCTGGCTCTTCTGACTGGCTTGTCAACTACTTCTGTCTGTCCTGTCCATCTCTCTATCTCCCAGTGCCCTAGCTACAACAGGCCCAGTGAAATCTATTCAGTGAGGGAATGATATCCCTGGGAACAAGTCCTGAAAGGTAGCGGAGCACAGCGCATGTGCTCAGTCCCCTTCTTTTGTCCTTCCCATCAGCTGGGTATAAGGCCTGCAGCCTCCAAACTGGGTGCATAATCTATTGGGGTACAGGATAGAAATATGAGAATCCCTAATCACAGGTATTTTTGTTACACAGTTCTTTATATTTTATAATTTATAAAATCCATTGGTGCGATATTACATGTATAGTGTTTATACAGAAATATATACCTATAGGAATATAGGCTCGAGTATACTTGGTGGCCACAGCCAACAGGAAGCAAAGCGGCTCATAGCCTGTGGACTACAGATGGATTAGGCTTGACCAGCATTGAAGTTTCCCAGATTGGAGGATGAATGCTTTGGGGGTCAGTAGGGGCTATGGGGAGGGTGGGCAGCATGAATGCTCCAGTTCTCTGACACTCCCTATTGCTTCCCCCAGCCTACTTCACAAATGTCCCGCCCCACTTCCTGACCTTTGGAGGCATGTGTATTTCCACCCCTGGCTATGGTTTCCTTTGAAAGTCTCTCAGAGACCATCCTACTGTGAACCGTGGTGCTCATCTAGCCCCAGGGGGGGAAGTATATAAGAAAAACTGAGACCTGGAAGCCCTCTGAAGGCAGCAGCTGGAGTCCCTCATTCTTGTATCATCGGCAACCTTGAACAGATTATTTGAAAACAAACTTGTTGACTAAGGTCAAAGCCTAGGACAGCCCTTTGAGCATCTGAGGTGAGAGGACCCTTAAGGAGCAATTAGGTCTATGTATTTAACTGCCCAGGTGGAAACGAAATGGGGCTCAGAGAGGCCCAGGATCTGCCCAAGGTCATAAAGCATCAGGCCAGCGCTCTGTCCCCTGTGCTGGCCTCTCTGCTTATCCTCTGGGATGTATGCTTGTTTATGATCCAAGTCTTGGCTGGTTCCACCCTCCTGGTCTTGGCCTGCTACTCATCAGCACAGGCTCTCAGAAGGCTCTCTGGCTTTCTTACCGGGACAGGAGCCAAAGAAGAAAACGTGCCTCAAATCACAATTCCATAGCCTACTGCCCTCCCTAAACCCACTTTCTATACATCTAAACCCACCCTTCCTTGGATGTCAGAGGCATCAACACCCTTCTAGTGGGTCCTTGGGTCCAAAATATGAAGCATGCAACTTACCTTGAGTGAGGGCCTACTATGTGTCAGGCTTTTATTTTTAATAAACTTTTTATGAGAAATCAACATACACACACATACACAAAAGCACACACAAAAAATGCACAAGGGTACCTGGGTGGCTCAGTCAGTTAGGCGTCTGCCTTGGACTCAGGTTGTGATACCAAGGTCCTGGGATTGAGCCCCCCCATTGGGCTCCCTGCTCAGCTGGGAGTCTGCTTCTTCCTCTCTCTCTCTGCCCCCAGTCCACCTCCCACCCCGCTTGTGCTCTCTCTCAAATAAATATATAAAATCTTTTTTTGAAGTGCACACATCAGTGAATGATCATAAAATGAATACACCCATATACCCATTACCCAGGTCAGAAAGTTGAGCCTGACCAGGACTACAGAAGCCCTCCTCAAAGCAATTTGTAGCCATCATTGCACACCTCCTCACAACAGCTGACAAGAAAGGGATAAGTAATTCAATCCACTTTACAGATAGCAAATTCTTTTTCTTGAACTCATTTAATTCAGCCTTGAATACTCAAGAAATTACACTTTTTTTTCCTCTAATTATTATTGGAGTCGAGTATGCATTAGAATAAATACATGACTATTAAACATAAAAAAGATGGTCTGCAGATATGTAAAATTCCCTGCCATACCACTACTTCATGTTCCACTAGCAAAATGTGTACCACACTTCAGGGACCATTGCATTGTATGGTGGGAGTAAACCCAGGGGAAAGGCTGTTTACAGCTGGGAAGATTAGAAGAGGCTTGGAAGCAGGACAGGAGGCATAGGCAATGGCCCTACCAGTCATGGAAAGGATGTGGCCTTGAGGATGAGAGTGTGCTCCTGGCTGCAAGCTAAGGCTTGAGAAAGCTTCACGGAGGAGGATGCTGAATCTTGAGAGATGAATACGGCTTTTAACGAGCAGAGCTGGAGGTAGGGAAGAAACCCTTCCAAGCAGATGGAATAGAAGACAGCATTTTGGGGGGCTTGGAAGAAAAGCTGGTACTTGACGCTTGAGTGAGCCATGACTGATGGAAAGGGATGAAGTTTCTCCAGGACATGGCACTGAGTGGACTGCCTGGAATGTCAGGACCCGCTTGAGTCAGAGTCAGGGCTGTGTATTCAAATTCACTTCTCCTTCTGGAACTCGTCCCTGGAGCCTCCCCATACCAGGATAGAGTGTGTGCCGATCATGGCAGACAGAGCCAGTGGAGCAACAAAGAGCTGGACTTGGAGTCAGCCTCACATGGGTTCTCGCCCTTGACCATGCCACTTTTCAGCACCACCATCCTCCCGAAGCTCCATTTTCTCCTCTGCAGGATGGGGACCCAACATAGGCCCATTGCAGGTGATTGTGAGAAGTGAGAGCACAACTGAAGTGACACACTGGCTCTCTTCCTAGCTCTTGGGGTCCATTGTTAGAGGAGTCTGAAGATAGTTCCACCCACCTCATTCCCTTTCCACCCCGTCCTCCAGCCCTGAGTACAGCTAAGCATGGCTGATCAGGGGACAACACTGAGCCTTAAACTCTTTCACTTCGAGGAGATGGACCCCAGAGGCGCTGATTTCAGGCCTCAGACTCCTCTGTCCCCTCTTCAGGTATGTCTAAAGGCACCAAGTCAGGTGAGGAGCCTGGTCCTCTTCCCTGCATAAACACTGCTGCTTCTGGCCTGGCTTGGCTTGTGCACGTGCTGAAAAGAAGCCCTTTCCTTGCCCCCCAAAGTCCACATGAACACACCACAGGGGACCTAGCCCCCTCCATAATACCCATAAGCCTGAGCACAGTGCTCAGCACAAGGGATAGCTGAGTTCCCTAGCACCTTTCCACGGGTAGTGGTCTGGCAGCAGTAGATCCATTAGAACTGCTGCCACCCGCACCACACACAGCCCGGGTGTCCACCCTGATAAGTCAAAAGGAATGAGAATATTTTGAGAATATCTTGAGTTGCTAGGAGCAGGAAGACCAAGCTTTGGAGGGGTTGTCAGGGAGCAAAGGAGAAGTAGGAGGCAGAGGATGAGAGAAGGTCTGCATGGGCAGGGTAGCATGGTCCATACCGATTTATCAGCAAAAACTAACCAAGATGTCCTCTGGGCCAGGCCCTGCATAGGGCACCCTCGAGGGTCCAAATTCTGACACGTCCCTTGAGCAATTCACAAGCTGCCAAGAGTAGAGAAGGTTCATGAGCCCATGGAAGATTTCCAACAAATTCAATACATCTATGTTTAGGGACAAGTTGAGTAGCTCAGATAGCCAAGGCTGAAGGTACTCAGAGAAAGGGAGTGAGTCCTGCAGACTCAGAGTGGATGGCGAGAAGGCTTTAATGGAGGTATGGGGTTAGAGCTCAAGCTTGAGGAGCTGTAGGATATGGGAACAGTAGGTAGAGAAGGTGAGAAGGGGATGAGAAGCACTTTTTTAAAAAAGATTTATTGGGGCACCTGGGTGGCTCAGTAGTTGAGCATCTGCCTTTGACTCAGGTTGTGACCCCAGGGTCCTGGGATCGAGTCCCACATTGGGTTCCCCACAGGGAGCCTGCTTCTCCCTCTGCCTATATCTCTGCCTCACTCTCTGTCTCTCATGAATAAATAAATAAAATCTTTGTTTTAAAAAGGTTTATTTATTTATTTGAGAGAGAGAGAGAGAGAGAGTACAAAGGGGTGGGGTTGGTAGGAGCAGAGGGGGGAGGAGTCTTAAGTAGACTCTGTACTGAGTATAGAGCCTGACACAGGGCTTGATCTCATGACCCTGAGATCAGGACCTGAGCCAAAACCAAGAGTCCTATTTAACAGACTGTACCACCCAGACACCCTGAGAAGCACTTTTTAGCAAGGTGCCTACTGTATCTGCCTGGTGCCCCTTAGTTAATGGAAGTCTCAAGTGCCCCTGTCCTGTGCCTTTTAGAACCATCTCCAGATCTCATAGTTCTGTCTCTTTCACCCTCTCTTCAGGCCATGTTTACAACCTTGAACCTACCAAGACTCACATCTAGGACCCACCCCAAGT